TTGAACAGGCGGGTTTTAAAGGTATGAAGAGTTTTGGATTGACAGATGTCGGGAGGGATGGGGTTCCATAGGGATGAGGATAATCAGATGAGGAGGATCGGATAATGAAAGATCTGTCGAAAGCAACAGTTCGGTGGGCCCTTTTGTATAAATCAGAAGAACGGGAACGAGTATTGCGAGAACGAACAGAAGATTTGAATTGAAGGAGCTCGGAGATGTATGAAGGACGGTGAGATTGGATGACTTGAAATAGGAAGGATGCCAGGAAATACTTACGATGGTAGGAAGGATAAAGCCACTTCAACTCTGCATAAAAACGGGAAACAGAGGGGTCCCTTGGGATCCCGAAGATGAATCGTAGAAAGCAATTTATCAAACATTTTAATTTTGCCTCGAGATCCCCAGTCAAAGTGGGGAAAAATTAAGGAAGTTACTAGGAGCCTATGGGTTTCAAGGGGAAATAGCTGATGGAAGTAATTTAGACGTTTTAAGGTGGAAATGGTATGGCGGGAGATGTTGGATATATGATTTTTCCAGGACAGCGTTTGATCAAAGATCATTCCAAGGTTTTTGATAGAAGGATAGAATTTGATGGGATTATCATGTAGGAACAGAGTTGGAATATTAGGAACAGTTTTAAGGAGGTGATTGGAGCCTATTAAGATTGCCTTTGTCTTTTCTGCATTCAAATTCAACTTGTTAGCTCTCGCCCAGTCACAAATCCTATCCAAGTCTTCTTGAAGTTTTTCAGTGGCTGATAATAGGTCGGTGGGCGGGAAGGACAGGTATATTTGGAAATCATCTGCATAGATATAGTATTGGGAGTGATGGATCAGGAGGGGAAGGTCATTAATATAAATAGCAAACAGAGTAGGAGATAGAGAGGAACCTTGAGGGACACCACAAGAGAGGGGGAGGGTTTTAGATGGAGGTTGACCTGGGACAACTACATACTGGGACTGATTTGAAAGGAAGGATTTGAATCAACACAGGGTACTGTTTGATAGAGGAAGATTGTGTAATTTAGTGAGGAGGATGTTGGATGTTATGGTCAACTGTGTCAAACGCTTTGGAAAAATCTAAATGGAAAAAAAGGACGAGGATAGTACGATTTTGGTGTTCAATGGGGTTTTGGAGGTCATTGGTTATTTTAAGGAGAGCGGATTGCGTTGAGTAACCAGGTCGAAAGCCAGATTGGAATTGATTGATAAGGGAACATTCTTCTAGGAAGTTGGAGAGTTGATTTTGTACAAGGAGTTCTAACGGCTTTGACTGGTTGGAAAGGAGAGAAATAGGTCGGAAGTCGTGCAGTGAGGTAGGGTTGGGAATTTTATTCAAAGGTCGGACTAGGTCAGTTTTCCAGGAGGATGGGAATATGGAGTTTTGCAATGAAAATTTGAAGATATGGTAAAGAACAGGAATAAGGACAGGAAGGCTGGATTTTATTAGTTCCACTGAAATATTATCAGGACCATAATCATTAGTGTGGGATTTTAGGATAGTGGAAAGTAATTAATCGTAGGGCACATTATATATATGTGTCCTGATTATGTGTATACGTGTAATATATGAGGACTGATTGAAATATGTTTTCACCAGGGCTTGAAATGGAAAAAAACCTTGATTTTCAAAAAGTTTTATTATCACCGGAATTTTTATTGCCGATTGTTTTTCGGTTCTTTTGGAACTAGAACTTTTTCCCTTACAACTTTTCTAGTAAAGGCTTTACAGAGCTTTTATTTTTAAACAACTTTTATTTAAAAGTTCTGTCAATTTAGTCTAAAAAATGATTTTTATATATAGTTTCTTAAACAAACAACACATTAGAATCATGTGTAATTCATTTAAGACAAATTATGACTAATTTACGCCCAATTGCTGTTTATTTTTCATTTAACTAATTTTTACTTTCCTACCTATACTAGATAAGGAAAATATTGCGATTGGGTCAAATTTCCGATATGCGGTTTTTGACAGATCTATACGTTTCAGAGCCCCCTGAGTTCGAAAAATACATTTTTAGCCATTGGTCTGTCTGTCTGTGCCAAGATTTTCTCGGGAACTAGTGAACAAATTTTGTTGCTTCTTTTTTTATTTTGTAGGGTTTTGACTACTGATGGCTGTGGCACAAATTCGGTGCTCCATGCTCAATAAATTATAAGCATGTTTTTCTATAGACTGTAGCACAAAAACGGCTCTAATGATAAACTGATTAACCAGTGTTTTTTCAAAAGGCAATGAAATTCCCTTCAAAACTATATAAAAATCCTTCATTTCGGACAATTATTAACAAAGTTGCAGCTATTCAATTTCCAATGTAAGATCACGGGTTCATCTCTTGGTGTCAGAAAGGGTTGAATGAGAGAAAAAAGATAACTAAGTGAAAGTAAGAAAATCTGTTGCCCGCATTACACAAGCTTCACTCTTTCTGCTACTTTTAACAGAAATTATTGCTATGGCAAAAAGTTTTTGATCAGCAATATTAGAGGTTATTGAAATTTTTACACTGATCTACCTTAAGCCAGTTTACATTGCTTTAGTTTATCAAATAAATCGTACTCAAATCTTTTCTTTGATCAATTTTCAGGAAAATAAATCTAATTAAATTTTTTTTGTTTCTTGATGGACATATGTAAAGTTATAAATACTTTTCTGAAATAGGTAGAAAAGTCGTGTGAGTGGACACACCAGGTTTTTGTTTTCTAGAACTTTAATAAATATAAGTTAAACTTTTACCACAAACCTGGAACTTTATTACAAAAACGTTCCTTAGAACTTTTCTTTTAAAAACTTTTTTTCTGAGAGTTTCACAGAAACTTTTTTGAATTCTTGGAATTACTACTATGTCACTGGGGGTTACCATAAATGTAAATAAGACCAAATATTTGATAAGAACAAGAAATAAAACCAAGCATCTAGGGGTGATAGTAATTTTTTATTATTACTAGTATGAGGAAACTATATCAGTCACCTGGAGAAAAAATATTATACACCCAGTTTATAAAAAGGGTGATCAACTTAGTACCAAACAACAAAGCAAAATACAAAGTATTTTTAAAAATTCTATACAACAGAAGTCAGTGAGGGATCAGGTTTTTAATGGAAAGAGAAAGAGAATATAGGATAAAAACACATAACCTATTCATAGACTTCAAATCAGCCTGTGACAGCATTGATGTAGAATTAATATATTTAATAATAATAATTAATAACACTGAAAGAGCTATATGTTCACTAGAAACGTTTAAACTTAATAAGGATAACAACATTTGAGATAGAATGTGTTGTGTACATGCATGGTGAAATGTCTAAACCTTTCCCACCAAGAAGTGGTGTTAAACAAGGTAATGTTTTTCCATATCTCTTGTTTAACCTTGTCCTTGAAAGTGCATGAAACTGTCAGAATGTAACTTTGTAATAATCTTTAATTATAAATTATGATAAAATGATCTTTCTTTCAGTTTTTACAGATACTTGATTGCCATTTGTGATATATAATTTTATTATATGAAATCTGAAATTTTGTTCTAATCTTAATAAGTGCTCTCGATCAATCTCCGCTGGTACCAGTACCAGTGATGTGGTTGAGAGAGTAGCGCAGGGTTCTCCTGGAGTTCCCTTGCCTGATTGTATATAGGTATGCATGTGTTTTTTGCTTAGTTTTAATTATTTGTTTAATGTTATTTTAGTTTATTTACTGTATATACATTTGATTATTATTTATTGTTATTTTTCTTCAATTTATTTTATATTTTTTGTACATATAGTGTGAATGTTATCCTACCTCACTATAACCAATGTCCATGTGACAGATTGTTGTAATACTCAATAAATAAATAGAAAAAAAAAATCTTAATCATAATGTTGATTCACTCTCATTATTGATATTCCTGTAATACCAATTTTCAAGAAATTTTCAAGCGGAGGACAACATGGACATTCATGGGAAGGTGGAACATGAGGACATTCCTTGCTCAAGTGATGGTTTTCGCAGATGATATTGTCCTCATTGCTGATTCCAAAGAAAATCTACAGCAGGCAGTTACTGGGTAGGGTTACATGCACTAGAAAGAAAGAGAAACATGACATTAAATGTTAAAAAGAGCAAGGTGATGTACATTGGTCGTGAAGAGGAGGAAGTTTTGGTTCGCCGTGGAGGAGAAACCTTGGAAACAGGAGTACACTTATCTCGGAGTAGTACTCATGAGAAACAGGAAAATGGACTAAGAGCTCTCAAACAGAATTAAGAAAACTAACAGCATATACTACCTGCTATGCAGCTTAGTGGTGGGGAAAAGGGAATTGGAAAAAGTTTAAAATTATATATCTTAAAGTCCATATACTTACCTACCCTTATTTATGGAAGTGAGAGCTGGGTCCCGCTGGACAGGCACTGGAGTAGAGCTACTGTGGCTACTGTAGCTACTGCGGAGAAATGATGTATCTCCAGAGAATAGCTGGCAAAACAAGGAGGGACTGGGGTCCTGTGAGTGCCATCTTTGAGGGAAACAGTCGAAAAGAGGCAGTTGGGATGGTTTGGTCATCTATGCAGAAGGGATGAGGGCTGTGATCCAAAGAAGTTTTTTGAGACACCAGACCAGGCGCCGTCCTCGAGGAAGACCTAGATTGCTATGGATGGATCACATCTCCAGGATTGGTGAAAAGAATGGGATGCCTATGAATTCAGTGAAAGCGCTGGCTCGGTATTGGTAGGCTTGGTAGTCCTGGATCCGGAGTACCTCCACGTTGAGAGGCACTAAGGAGCATGATAAAGAAGAAGACAAGTATCAATTATATGATAAGCACCAACATTTCTGAATGACAATCCACCACTTACGTGAACCATCTTATTATGATTTGGTAGTGGTATTATTTTTTATTTCTATTTTATCTTATATTTTATTTACTTTTTGTATGATTTTTTAAAAATTTATTTGTTTCAATACAGGTAATAAATCTTTTTAATTCCTTTTTTATCTTTAGTTATTTTTTTCTTTTAGGTTGAAAAAGCTCTTTGCTTGCTGTGTTCTTCAAAATGGGGTCTAACGGACTCAGAAATACTTGACATATTTTGTAGTGATAGCGCATTTCATACCCCAACAACATATTGTAAGTTTTTTAATTAACTTATCGTTTTGTGTAAAGGTAATTAGATTTATAACATTTTTACACCCTTATAATTTTACCTTAATTTTTTTTTTTTTTTTTTTTTTTTTTTTATTAAACAAGTTTGTTTTGCAGTTTTATATTTTAATTTCAACAATTTCATGTTGGGGAACATGGGTCCAATATTTTTCAATCTATTACCAAAAATAGGTTCATAGAAATCGGTGACACCACGTCCATATCCTCTTCTTCTTAGTCCATTTGACCTGATGTGTGCTAAAGTTTAAAGGTTATAATGAAAACAAGATTTTTTAATTTCATAATTTATTTATTGAGAAATATTACCAATTAAGGACATTACTTACTAAATTAAATTAATAAGTAAAACAATACTAATAAATTTTAACACTATTATAAATTATAAATATGTAGGGTCCGTAACGTCTGGAATTAGGGATGATAATAACAATATTCTGACCGATCCGGTTGACATATTAAATAAGTTTAAGGACCACTTTGACAATATTTTAAATACGGGAAATTATGGTCTGTGTCCTCCTTCTGAGTACCAGAGTGCTGAACCGTTAATAGAAGGACCAAGTAAAGAGGAAGTTGAAGTAGCTATCGGAAAATTAAAATCATATAAAGCAGCGGGAATCGATAATATTCCTACTGAACTAATTAAGGCATGCGGGGAAGCTGGAGTTTCTAAAATACATTGGTTGGTTAAAAAGATCTGGGTGAACGAGAAATTACCTGAAGAATGGAAAGAATCTATTCTTATTCCAATTCACAAAAAGGGTCTGAGGACGGATTGTAATAACTATCGAGGAATTTCACTCCTTCCGGTATGTTATAAAATATTCACTTTAATCTTAACCAGTCGAATCACGGAATACGCCGAGGAAATTATCGGAGACTACCAATGCGGATTTAGACGGAATCGTTCGACTATTGATCAAATATTTTCTTTACGGCAAATATTAGAGAAAAAATTGGAGTATAAAGGTATTGTTCACCAGCTGTATATAGATTTTAAAAAGGCTTACGATTCTATTGACCGCCAGAAACTGTATAATATTCTAATCGAGCAGGGGATTCCTAAAAAAACTAGTAAATCTAGTCAGGATGTGCTTGACGGAGACACTCAATATAGTTAGAATCGGTAATAATTTGTCCGAAAAATTTGAGGTTCGTTCGGGCTTAAAACAGGGGGATTCTCTTTCGCCTGTCCTGTTCAATTTGGCATTAGAACATGCCATTAGGGAGGTAATGCGAACCGAGAAAGGGTTGGATCTGGGTGGGACAACATCCGTGCTGGGCTATGCTGATGATCTGGTACTGTTAAGCGAAGACGTTGAAACTATAAAACTAAATACGACAACGTTAATGAAAGCCGGTAAAGAACTAGGACTCGAAATAAACGTGGATAAAACAAAATATATGGTTAGCTGCAAAAATGGCGATAATACTGGTGATATCGATATAGATGGTAATATGTTTGAACAGGTAGATAAATTTAGGTATCTAGGTTCTACGGTAACTAGAAAAAACGAAATTGAAGAAGAGATTAAGGTTAGACTGAAGGCGGGAAATGCTTGTTATTTTTCTGTGACAAAACTACTTAGTTCGCGCCTATTGTCCCGAAACTTAAAAATTAGAATCTATAAAACAATTATCTTGCCTACAGTCCTTTATGGATGCGAAACTTGGCCGCTTACATTAAGGGATGAGCAGCGTCTTAAGGTTTTTGAAAATAAAGTATTGCGTAGAATATTCGGACCGAAGAAGGATGAGTTAACCGGAGAGTTCAGACGGTTACACAACGCCGAATTGCGTGAGCTGTATCCGGGTAATATAATTGAGGTAATTTCATCGCGGCGAATCAAATGGGCATGTAAAGTTGTTGGGCTTAGTAACGAGAGAATTCCTAAAAGGTTAATATTTTCTATGCCGAATGGTAAGCGTCCGAGGGGTAGACCGAAGCGAAGGTGGGAAGATTGCATTAAAGCCGATCTGAAGGGACTGGGTTTGGACGGCGAACGGTGGAGGGAGGTGTGTAACAAGCGATTGGTGGTGTCGGCATCGAACCTTCGGGTTTGCTAAGCCTTATTATTATTTATTATTATTATTATAAATTATACTTAATTTAATAAATATTTAGGAGTTTGATAAAGATTTCATAAAGATCATAATTTAGTTAAATTTATAATAGTGTAGAGAGCACATTCACACTCTATGTACAATAATAATATTTGTGTGTTAGGTCATGGTACAACTAAACATTGATCATACATTGAATTAGTGCAGATCTGCTCAGTATAGTGTAATCATGTGGTTTCCAAAAGCCAAAGTGGGACTACCAGATGATTAGGCTTCAGTCAAGATCCGCTTCTGGGCTCCTCAAATCACTGCGGCTGTTTCAAAATTTAAAAACAAGAATAAAGTTATAAAATAAATTTATTTAAGGTGTGAATGTTCTATGTAACTTTTTGACATGATTATCTGCCTATATCATTAGTATTAAAATAGTAGTATTGAGATAGGTAGGGAATTCCAAAAAAATGGAACACGCATGATGAAGGATTTTTTAAACGGTTCTGTGAGAGCTAACAAACAGGTTTATATGGACTGGGATCTCGTGTTGAACAGATAAACGAATGAACGAACGAACGAATGAACAGAGAAACAATGAGTAAACAAATCAAGAAGGTAAGATGGCTTTTTGGTTGTAAAGGTTCGGAAAAGAAATACACCTATGAAATAGATAGAGCCACTCCAACTCGGCATACCAACTGGAGACGTGGGAGCGCCTGGGGATTTCAAAGATGAATCTAATGAAACAATTCATTAACCTTTTCAATCTTATCTCAAACCCACCAGACAGTCCACCATATACAAGGCAGCCATAACCGAAGTGAGGAAAGATGAGTGAGGAAACTAGGAGTTGGCGGGTTTTTAAAGGCATAGAATCACGGAATCTCAGGAACTGTTTTAGGGTAGCAACAGATTTTCAGATAATTTGGGAAACATGATTATTCCTGGACAGTATTGATCGAAAATTACTACAATATTTCTGACAGAAGCATGGAAACGAATAGTTTGGGATCTGTGGTACAAGAAGGAACGGAACCACTTTAGGACGCTATTTGATATAGAAAGGTTTTGGAGTTTGGAAAGAAGGATTTCATGATTAACGGAATCAAATGTTTTTGAAAAGTCAAAGAGGATCAGGATGAATATTTTTTATTTGTATATGGATAGATGAAGATCTTGGGTGATTTTCAACAAAGCAGATTGGGTGGAGAACTGGGATCGGAAACCAGACTGCAGGGGATTGAGAAGAGCATTTTGATTTTGCTCAAGTAAGGTATTAAGCTGTGAATGGACTAGTCTTTCGAGAGGTTTTGAAAAGTTGGATAGAATGGAGAGGGGTCTGAAATCGAAAACTTTGGAGGGAATTGGAACTTTGCTCAATGGGCAAACTATAACTTTTTTCCAAGCTGATGGGAAACAGGAATTTTGTAAGGAAAATATGCAGTAGGACATGAAAGATGACAGAGAGGCATAGTTTGACTCATTTCACTGGGATTAAATCTGGACCATAGTCATTCGTTCTGGACATGAGGTCAGAGGGAAGCAGGTCTTCTGGTGAGAGATATTTGTGAAATAAAAATTTGTAGGTTCAAAGGAAGTTTTAGGAAGGCAGTGTGAGGAGGAGAAACATATTGAGATAGGATAGGCAAATTAGGAATTCAGTTGATCGGGAGAAACAGATTTTTTATTTTTCTACGGAGAGATTTTTAAGGATCTTCCATCTGGACTTGTGATAATGAGATATGGAAGAATTGTGACTTGGCACGTCACATTGGATTGGATTAGGTTACTAAGGGATTTGAAAGAGATGTAATCATCTGGATTACGTTTGCGTTTAAAGCGTTTTCTCGCTGCGTTTCTTCTCTTCATCAGCCTTCTGATTTCAGGATTAATCCAGAGAGCAGCAGGGCGTCTGAAGGTAGAGGTCTTTAGAGGTGCATGTTGATTCAGGAATAGAAGAAGATGGGACGTAAGGGTTGGGCTAATGTTTCAAGAAAAGGATTTTTTTTTCCATGGGTCAATGAGCCAAGATCTCGCCAAGTTATTTGCTTAGGAGTGAATTTAGGAGTCAGGATGCTATAGGAAATGTGATGAGATCGAGTAGTTGTGGTATTTGTCTTTAATTCTAATCACACATAGCCTTGGGTTAATTGGCTTGAACCCAATCACTAGGTCTGAGAATTTCTTGCCAACGATGAATCCGCTCCCAAACGTGTGGAGTCTTTCATCACAACTATAATATATTGCGTAGTGCTCTTTTTTAAAAATACCTTGTCATGTCCACCTGGTTTCCTGAAAGGTGCAATGTCTATTTTATAATTAGTTAGTTTTTTTAGAAGTACCTGAAGTACTCCTCGTCGGTTTAATGACAGTAAATTCCATGTTCCTATTGTGAAGTCCAGTTGACGTTTCCTGTGTTGTTTCCCATGGATCAGCCCTGCTAATTTTTTATGAGTATTTTTGATAATGTAGTTTAGGATAGGTGGGTTATCAGGCAAACCTCTCCGTGTCAGGTGGTAGGGCTGCTACCTTGGAGCCTTCTGATCTGCTCCCCCATCTGAGACGGCTACCTAGGGAAGGTGACCCTAGGGTGTGTACTGTATGTGACCTTTGTCTGTAGTGTGGGGGTGCATGTAGTTAGTTTGCTTTGTTTAGTGTACTGTGTGTGTGTGTGTCAGTGTTTGTGTCCTCCCAACCTGACTGAAGTCTGAAGACTGGGCGATGTGGTCGCCACCTCCTGACGCCAATATTATTATTAATAGAGAATATTATTCATTACTTATTTAATCTACTCAACTAAATTTGTAAAAATAAATCCAAGGGTGAGTTTATAATAATGAGAGGGAATCTACCACTGATCAGATCTTTACTTTAAGGACCCTGTTTGAAAGTACAAGGAAATGTAATATTACCACGCATCACCTCAGGCTCTGGAGGGCTATAAGTATCATGGCTAAAAGCTCTCATTCATACAATATATACAAATAATAGAGAAACAAATATAAATATAAAAAGTAAATAAATAATACTGATGAAGAAAGTAAATAAAACAAAAAAAAATAAACAAATAAAATAAAATAAAAACGTCTAAACACAATCATACCTATATACAATATATACATTTGCCGAGGAATCTCGGAGCCAGGCTTTTCCTCCCACATATGGAAGGCAAATCAAGACTCCAGGAGATCCCAGTGCCACTTTTCCAGCCGCATCACTAGTATTAAAAGCCAGTGGAGACTGAAAGAGGGCACTAGAGCCACAGTAAAACACTTTTAAGTGCTCAGATTATGAAAATTACTGTAAAACTGTGCAAACCTAATCCAGTCTTTTATTTAACAACACTTCTCGTTTCAGTCATGAATTTTATTAAATACCTTGTTATGGTTTAATTTAGAAAAATTATTTCACCAAGAAACTTGCCGGACATTCAGTGGAGACAGTAGGGTTTGCAAAAAAGAATGAAAAATAATGATGAGTCAATAAATCTTAATAACTATCTAACAGGTGTCACGCTGCTTAATTTGTTGATTTTTGGAAAATACTGAAAATCACAAAAAAAAAAAAAAAAAAAAGATTTGGACGCGGAACGAGCTATGAACTTGGAACCTATGGGTTTAAAAACATATGTTACTTACTCTTATAATCTATAGAACCTTCTTACTTGGTTAATATTGATTTTCCCTAATCCCTCGAATAGGGTTTTACAATTCCTTATTAAACCTTAACAAAACAATATAATATATAAATAAAACCTGAAAACAAACACAAAAGAAAAAGAAGAACACAAAACTATATATCATTAATACTGATGATGAATTCATATATTTCTATTGACAAAAATAGCAGTCAACGGAAATGAAAATTATAAACAAGAAATTAGATTTATAAGAAAACAAAAAAAAAAAGACAATAAACTTTAATTATCAAAGAAAATAATAAGAAAACATTACTAAACTAAACATTAACCTACGATTATACAATGTACTAATTATATATATTTAAAAAAAAAAAATAGTAAGAAAAATTTATATATACATACTTATAAAATCTCAATGGTGTACTTTGTCCAATTTGTACATTGGCTCATCTGAGGAAGCGAGAACTTGAAGTTATTCCAGCTAGCATCGTCATGGTTTCCTTTGTCTACTTCTTCAAGTTGTGAAAATGTTTATTCGCCAACTGAAGAAAAGGGAAGAAAGGAAACATTGTAAATAAAACTAAAGTATTTCATACATAAATAAAATTGGTTTCATCCACAAATACTTAGCGTCCCTCTACAGTTGCGAGGTTCCACCATATCTCTCCCAAACTGTCTTTTGTTTTTTTTTCCTCCCTCATATGTTGGCTATTATACAATGACTTAAAATTAATATTTAAAACTAATTTATTTTTAGCTAACCTTCTTCAAGGTATTTCATTTTTCGCCACAAGCTTACAATCATGTGATACCATTATATACTTTTTTTATTACTGTATCATTATACTGAGTACATTGTACTAAAATATCATATTTATATTGGGTTTTAGTTTATATGAAGATCTACAATAGTATCCTAAATATTAGTATCATAATTACAATAATTAACTGTTTATTTTATTTATTAACACTTGACCATTCTCCTTCATCAACAATACTTGGTCAATCATCACAAGAATTTTAAACAATTAACAGTTTTCTGTCCATTTAATCAACTTTTGATTGGTTTTGAAACAAACATATATTAACATGAAGATAATTGGCTTCAAGATCTTATAATTTAACAGGAAGAACATTGTTTATAAAAACTACAATTTTACAAAAAAAGAAAGTTAGGTTTCTAATTTATAAGGTATTATTAAAATTGTTTAACAGTGCCCTGGGCTGGAGCTTGCTTGTTTTGGTCCAAGCTGACCCGTCACTTAGGCCCATTCCTCGAGCATGGTGAAGACTGCGCTAATCTCCTTGTTGACCCTTCCTTGGCAAAAACTGTCCGTGAACGTTACAGAAGCAAGATGTCTTGGGCAAGAACACTTCTCTACAGGTATTTCACAGTGAGTATTGAAAATCTTGCTTGCTGGAATTGTAAATGTGAAAATAATGTGGTATAACATTTTTAATAGGATTGTTAATGCTGTTATGAGGTTTTCTAAAATTTTCCTGACAATTAAATAAAAACTGAAAGCTATTATTTTGTGATTTAGTCAGAAAAAAATATTGTTTCAAAATCTAGATATCGTAAGTAATTATATCAGTGCTGTTAGTCATTTGGAACTTATTGTCTAATCTTGAGTTCATAAATTTTTATCATTCTATGTCCTATTTCTCAGTTAGAGCCATGGAGAGAAACCAAGGTCCCCAGGGATAATTTTCCCAATCTCCCGACAATTATGAAATTTACCACTAATGATATTTTATATTTATTATATTACATATGTAATTTTTTTCTATACCTTATTTTAATTTAGATGTTAAAAAGTAAGCCTTATTGGCCAGGTCAAGCACCCTTCCTAGCCCTGGCCCTGGGCCTGTAACTCTTGTTCTTAGTATCATTCTTAGATATTAGACATCTGCATATCTATTAACATTATTTCCATGTTCCTATAAAGTTCTTAGAACGTTGAACCATGTGATAATCAGATATCATTTTTTTTTAATTGGTTAACATGGATGAAAAAATGTAATACTTTTATGTTATATATACTTAGTTCTGCCATAAATACTGTTACAAAAGTTGAACTTTGTTTACATCCTTGGGTATTATTCAAATAATTCTTAGCTCTATCAGGTTATTTTCTTTACATGTCAGAATAATAATTCTAATTAGTTCATATATTTCTTTCGCTCAATTAACATGGAGTGGGGTGATAAAGAAAACTGAATAGCTGTGATCACCTTACACAAAGTTGGAAAATGTAGGTCAGAGATTTTCAAAACTGAAACCTTTGGGTATGAGCCTTATGTTTGTGTACTGCACTATAAATAGATAAAATGAGACCTTATCTGTATGTGACAGACCTCAGTCCCTGCACTGTGAGAAGGGCAAATGCAGTGAGAGCACTGGCTGCTCGAGTCAGAAGAAATCCGATTCGTAAACAACAAATCATGTCTTGGGAAATGGGAATCTCTGCCAGATCAATGTCTCGCATAATAAAAAGTAACCTTAGGATGAGTGCATTTGGAAGAATTGCAGGAGAAATGCTGATCACTTCAATAAAAAAAAAATTAATGGATAGATGCAAAGTTTTCCTTGCCGTTTCGCCAATGGTCTTCATCGAAAGATTTTGTTTAGCGATGAATAAAAGTTTACAATTGAAGAAAAATGTAATCGCCAAAATGATTGTGTGTACGCCCACTTCTCTAAAGAAGCCTAGGAAGTCATTGGAAGAGTGGAAAGAGGTCATCACCCTTCCTCAGTGATGGTTTGGTGGGGAGTTTGCTTTGACGCAACCGCTAACCTCCATTTTTGTGAAACAGGAGTTAAAACAGCCGCTAAAAGCTATCAGGTCTATATTTTGGAACCTGTTGTCAAGCCTGTATATGATAATCTGTTTGCTGGATGTCATCGGATTTTCCAGCAGGATTCTGCTCCAGCTCACAAGGCCAGGTCAACTCAGCAGTGCCTGCAAAAGAACATTCCAGAGTTCATCTCTGCCTCGGATTGGAACCTCAGGAAGCCCTGATCTCAACCTACTAGATTATCGGCTTTGGTCCGAACTGGAGAGGCATCAAACAGAACACACACTAACTTGGAAAGGCTTAAACAATCTCTGGTCCAATCAGTTGAGCCCTTTTCTCAAGAAGTGCTGTGTGTTACTATTGATGACTGGCCACGGAGATTAAATGCCTCTGTCAAGGCAAAAGAGGGACATTTTGAGTAATTTATTTTTTGTTTTACTCTATATAGTTATACATTTTATTTTCTAATAAAGTTTTTGATAAAATTAATTTTTCTGTTGAAATTTGTATATATTTCCTTGTAACAATATTTATGAGAGGACTAGGTATAACATATATCATCATTAGGTCTACTTAAAAATTATTTTATTTATTAATTAAAATGATTAATTATTATTATAGCAAATAAAATATTGAAAAATTGTCTATTAAAACATATTTTTTTAATGGGATTTGCCGGAATAAATTACCACAGTTTGATATTTTAGTTTAATGATTTACGTTTTGCCCATTTCTATCAACATTCTTTCCTAATAAAATGTTTTTTTTTCCAAAATAAAAATTTGGTTTGTTGGGGAATTGAGTTCAGATGTGGTATTTAATTAGTGATTTGCCATATATATGTATGTATATATATATATATATATATATATATATATATATATATATATATTTATATTTATACAGTTGACTCTTGATAATTGGAAATCCAAGGGACTACAAGAAAAATTAGAATATCAAGACTTGGAGTTATCAAGAAGTTTGAATTATCAAGAGGAAAAAAACAAATTCGAATTATAAGGAGTTTTTATTAGATTTTTGAAAATATATATGAGCTTACAAAAATTTTATATATGAGCAGCCTCATGTAAAAAATATTACTAAGAAAATTTTGAGTTATAAAGAGGGGAAGTGGTCTAGTTCGATTTATAGAATGTTCTATCTCCCCCTTGTACAATCCCCCCCTTCGGTAAATTGAAAAAATGCTGTATTTTGATAGGTCGATAACTCAAAATCCTTTTTGTAACAAGGGGGGGATAGAACATTCTATAAATCGAACTAGACCACTTCCCATATATATATATATATATATATATATATGGGATATATATATATATATATATATATATATATATATATATATATATTTATATATTGTTGTTTTCTTCTTCTGTAATAATTCTACAGAAAAGGCACATAGTTTACAGTAATTGTGCATAAACCATTCAAAAGCATATTATATGAATTACATTATTTATAGAAAATTTTGTAATATATTAGGCAAATGTATTATCTAAAAGGAACTATATAAAAACAGTCACTAAATGAACTTGAAAAACAATATAACGGTAGGAATAATACAAAATAGAATTACATAACGTAAGACACAAATTTTTCTACAAAAAACATATTTACAGTAAAAAAAAAAAAGTATCAGTACAATAAAATTTTACAGAATTGTTGGGAGTTTAAACCAACAGGATTAGATAAACTTAAAAAGAACAGAAGTAAGTTTCTACAAAATCAAAAAGCTTGAGATTAAATGTATAGATAAACAAAAAACAAAAAAAAAAATCTAAAGCTATATTTTTATAAAAAGCAAAATAGAATAATATGAATGTTTTATTTCCAGAGATATATTCATTAAAAGATGCATGTTGGATGGTCCCATTGTAGTCCTATGGTGTTGATGAATTCCTTCAACAGCTTCTTGTATTTTTTTACATAGTAATGGTTCTGGAAGAAACCATGTATCCCCTTTCATTAGAGATGACTTCAACAAGCTATATCTTTTGTTTTCATGTAAGTGGCTGTCATTTAAAATGTGTAGGAAAGTTTGAGGAGTTAGTTTGTCACATTCTCATCTTTATTTTAGGTTTTTCAAGCTGAAAATAAATTTTAAAGTTTTCCATTTATTTTCCATGGAAATTCCCATTTAGTTTCTTTTGAACAGTTTATTTCCCATTGCATACTATGAAATTAGATTAATAAAAATATGTTATATAGTCGGATGTGCTGTATTTTTTCTTTATAAAAGTGATTGAGGCTTTTTCTGTGCTAATGATGCCTAAATTGGCGACATTTTGAGGGCTAGTTTGTTTTTACCTGTAATTTAGTGGTATAAGGCTTTGTGGTTGGATTTTTCCAATTATAACCCAACAAAAAGTAGACATTATAAACTACAACAATTAAAATTCATTAGCTTTTCATCACTCTCCATTACTCTCTACAACTTTGTATGTTAGCTATTCATTTTTTTTATAAAACTTTAGCTTTCTAACAGTATATTATACAACTATATTACTAATCATTTTTCCAGAACTTTATTTTCAACCTGCAAAAATATTTCTTCCATTTTGTCCTTTAGTTCAGGGGTGCCCAGAGGGGGGTTGTGTGGCACAAGTTACGACATCAAAATTTTTGGGGATACATTAAGTTTTATATTTTAAGATAGCTTTTAAACCAGGAAATAAAGAAGAAAAAAAAGGCACTCTGAGGTTTAAGTGTATATAAAAAAATATCTAAGGTCACCGCATATTTGGAAGAGTGACTATATGACTATATGACTTTATTCTAAGTACTCAACACAAGCAAAGCATTGTCTTTCCTATTTCCAGTTTCAGGGTTGACTCAAAGGCAACTACCTGTTTGAAATATTGGTATGTGGTACCTTTATTGTGTGTATACAATTAATACAACTAATGCCTTGTCTTTGGCTGTGGGACATGGAAAAAATAATCTTTGTTTAAAATCTTTTCTCTCAAACACTTTACAAGCCAAAATAATGTTATACGGTTTATTATTTTCTGAAGAGAGGATGTCATAATTGCTGGTTGTGCTACATGTCTACGCTAACTATAAAAGTTGAAATTGTTATGTTTAGCCTAATAAAATTAGCACAAAAAAAGGGGTCAACCTTGCAAAAGGTTGGGTAATTCAAATTTCTTTTTTATATTGTTAGGTATGTAATTAATATAAAAAATCCAGGTTTCCACCCTTGAAAGCCTTGTGGGTTCGCTGCAATTTTCCAAAAACCATTGAAATTTTGAACTTTTTTTGTTTACGCTAAATATCTCCTTTTGTAAGCGAGATAGATAAAAAATAGTTAAATTTAATCTTAAATAGCTTAAAATTATCTAAATTTTTTTCTAAACCCAACAGAATGCAAACTATTGAGCTTTCAAAATGGGTAAAATTTTGAAAATTTGGGAAAATACATATAATTTTTTGTTTTTAACTAATTATCTGTTTGTATAGGTGACTTAGCTCAATTTTTAAATTGTGATGAAGTTAAGCCAAATGCTGAATCTCAGTGACCCAAAAGCTAACTGAACTCAAGGACATCGATCCACCATGTTTGGATGCCATTTTGGGA